GGGGGGGGGGGACGGGGGGGGAATACTTGCAGGTTTACTAGTAACACTATAAAGTAGTCTTGATACTCTCTCATCATACCTCATTTTCACTCTGAATGTTATTAGTAGTAATGATAGACCTATTCTGGGCAATAGATGTAGCTTTGGATATTTCTTGTCATGTTAATTGGCTGTGGGACCTTGGGCAAGTTAGCGTTCTCATCTGTAAAATTGGGATGGTTATCTCTTCCTCAAAGAATTTTTGTCAGAAATAAATTAGATAATTTGTACCTAGCAGAGGCTGGGTCTACAGTAGATAGTTAACAAATATCAGCCAATTTCAAGCTTTCCTATTTCATTTAAGGACAAAAATAGGGAGTTGGTATCCAAGAAGTACACCATTAATCTCTTAAGAGTTCTCAGGAAACCACAAGCATGGTAGCAATAGTGTATGCTCAGCCGTCAGACAGAGCTGAATTCAAACCCAAGCTTTATTATTTACTGCCTGTGTGACATTAGGCAAGCCCCTTGGCCTCACTACCTGTTTTCTCATCTATAAAATGTCTTCTTGAGATACTATTCTCAAGCCTAGGATCACATAATTTTTCTTTTAAAGTGCTCAGATTTTTATTTTCCCAGAGCTGTTATGAATGATTTGTGGTTATAGTTTTTTGCCTGTGATGTAGAATGTGGTTACCACTTAGGCATCTCAAAAGCCTAGAAATCATTCCAAGTCATTCTTTTTAAATATATAATACATATTAGTATACACACACACTTAGCTCTGTAGCTCTGCATAATAGGCCGTGAAGGAGACTGACTCCTACCCTCAGCCATTCACCTTCATTGGCCACCTTTTCCTCAGTCATGGTTCTGAATAACTTCCAGTTGTTTCCAAAAAATTAATTTCCTTAGGAAATTTTTGCCATTATTGAGGATGGTCCTAAGAGTGTAATAGAGTCATTGTCAAAGAACAATTTCCAAAATAGTTTCAGTAATGGCAGCATTTGGGGGATTTCAGAGAGGACCAAACTTATTTGACAGCAATAGTTCTTGTATTTGAAAAAAAAAATCAGTTATATAACTCTAGCCTCCCTTATAAAATTAAATACAACAACATATGAATCAACTCTGGAGGCCTGTTCCTGACATATTTTATACCTCAGGGCACCTTCCAGCATAGGAATACTCGATTTTTCCTTTAATGTACTCAGAGTTTCACTTGCCCAGAGCTGAAAGGAGTGATTTGTGGTTACAGTTTTTTGCTTGCAATGCAGAATGCAGTTACCATTTAGGCATCTCAAAAGCCCAGAAATCATTTCAAGTCATTCCTGTGGTAGAGAACTGATGGCTAATTTTCAAACCTATATTTCACAAATTTTTTTCCAGTTAATTTACTATTGCATATTAAAAACATATGCATCCCATGATAGTATAAAATTGAAATTAAAATTATTATATTGGAACTTCCAAAAATATAAAACAGACCAATATTCTGTGAAAGTTATGTGTTTTTCCCAGACTTAGCAATTGCTTAAAATTTTTTACACTCATTTTTTTGCTCCTTCAATGAAACAGTTTTAAAAACAAATGATCTCTCCTCAACGTTTTGTTTAAAAATATTCTCATTAAAAATAGTCCATAACCCAAGAAGCAAAAGTAGAGATAACATAAAGGTGAATGCGAATCGTTTTGGTGAAGTTGAACGATATGGTGAAAACCTTTCTGGCAGACCCATACCACCCATTCGATCTTTTATGGACATTGAGGGTTGCCCTGCTCCCAGCAACCCACAATCAAGAGCTTGGTAGGCTCAGGACAGGTTGTAAGACCTTGCCTTGCCTCAGGTTGGCATTCTGCTAAGAAACCTACCTTGTACCCGGAGAGAGCCTTGGACCAAGAGCCTTGTGGTCCAGATGGAGGCAAGAAGCAACACCAGGCTGAAGCACTTGGTCATTGTGCCAACCCCTTCAGAGCCAGAGAAACACCTCAGCCAGCCCCTGGCAGCAATAGAGGCATGCAATCGCCAGTCTGGATGGAGACTTCTGGAAATATGCTGGGGCCCCCACTGCTCCAGTTCATAACCGAGACATCCGGATTTCCCTGCTTTCAAGCTTCTGACTTGTCAAGGTCACCAGGGGAAATGAGTGACGTCCCTTGAATGCTCAGGCTGTACTTTGTGGATAGCTTTCTGGAAAATTTAGCTAATGCTGACTCAGAAAGCATAGAAATGAGGAAGGCAGATAGCACAATGTGAACTGCTAAAGGTTTCCCCAATTCCCATGTCCCCTGCCACAGCTCCCCCCCCCCAGCTCAGTTCTCACATGTTCATTGCTATTGCCCGTGGAGCCCATTCGTTTATATACTCCTAGGAATGCCTCTGTCTCTAAAGGATACTGAGCATCGATTGTGCTTTTCCTCTCACAATCGGTGGTTTTCCCCAGCTGCGTATTCTTCTGATCTGTGGGGAATGATATACCAAGGGCAGAATCTTCGGCCTCCCTTTGGGACTTCTTTTATACATTTAAACTTTGTACACCACTATAGGTGAGTCTTTCTTCAAAGAAACCAGGCACAGAAAAAAATTCATATTTAAAAAATACAAGTGGGGGGGCGATTTACAAAATTAGCTATTTTATACTTTAAAAGAAAGGGGGTTTGACTTTACAATAAGAATTACTACAGGGGTTCTTTATAATAACTCTCTTTAATAACTCCTCTTATAGACCAAATGACTTCTCTAGTAGATCAAAATTCAATTTAGACTTTCCCTTTCTCATTTGATGAACATAAAGTTTATCTGTACTGTGTGCAAGCAGACCGCACGCACTGTTTTCCCAGCTGGATTTTCAGTGATTGGTCCCTCCCCCATGGTAATTATGGAATTCTGGATTGAGAGTAATGCCTTGAGCAAAGGTTTATGAGATTTCCCCAAAATGAATGTCATTTATGGGAATAGTGTATGCACAACTAGTTCTTTTCTATATAAGTGATATTCATAAGTTAGATATCTGTACAGAAAATATCAATAGCAAAAGGAGTGTCTGCTCTGCACAAACACAGGGAACTTCTAAGAGACCAGAAGAGAGCCCTTCAATATCTCAAATATCTAAATATGTTAATATCTTTAGACCTCATTACTTAGGTGAGCATAAGCCTTAGGCTATGGGTACCTCAGAAATGTGACTATCACCCTAGAGCCAGGCAGACAGGAAGGCAGGAATCATATCCTCTGCAGCATTACCCTTAAAGCCTAGCATCACGCCTGAAAGTGAGCTAGCCTTCATGCATTTGGTCAAGTATAACAAAAAGAAAGAAAGAAGGAGGGTAGAAAGAGGGAAAAATGGCCTGTCACCCATAATAAGTTTCTGAAGAATTTGTTGCCAAGAGCTAAAAGCTAAAGCGGGAGCTATAAAGAAAATATTGCCAGATGGTCTCTCATCACAGTTTAAGAAACAGTGTTCAGGATACAGCTGCAGCACTATCCAATAATTAAAGAAAAAAAGTTGTAGAATTAGAAGGGAAATGTGAAAAGTTAAATGAAAACAAAGAGAACAAGTTTCAAAGAAGAGCCCAAAATAGGGAGTATTCAGGCCAGTTTTCTTCTTCCCTGCATATGGAATACATGAGTAAAAGTGATATTTAATCTGATGTATGCAAATAAAAATTTAAATAGAATAGACATTTTGAAATGTGGCAAGAAAGAAAGTAATATGGTGCAACTCAAATCCCTCAAAGGAGGGTAATATCTAAATTCTAGTTTAAGTTCTAACACTAATTATCTGTGTGACCTTGAGAAAGTCACTTAACTTCTCTGGGCCTCAGTTTTATCACCTGTCAAATAAAGGAGATGAATTATATGAATTTAAAAGTAACATAGCAATGTAATTCTATGAAACTGATATTACAGGAATTAGTTGTTTTCTAACATATATAAATAGGCAAATGTATTAGTCAGTGTAATCTGTTAGAACAGACAACCCCAAATCTCAATGCCTTAATAAAACAAAAGTTTATTTCTCTCATGTTACAGTCCAATGGCTGACAATGGTGGTGATGGTAGTGGAGGTGTATATGTGTGCGGGAGGGATTTTGCCACACAGTTTTCCAGAGACTGTGTAGCCCTACCATCCATTAGTACCTCAGCTCCCTCCTCCCCAAGATCTACACGGAGCCAGCAACCAAGGGAGGGGAGTGTGGAGGCTTGTGCTGGAGAATACCATAGGGGCCAGGCCTGGGAAGCAGCTATATCACTTCCAGCCCTATCCCATTGGACAGAACTTTGTCATGGGTTCCCATCTCACTGCAAAAGAGTCTGGAATGTAATCTAGCTGTGTGCCCAGGAGGAAAAAGAAAAGTGAAGTGGTGAACACATAGCAGTTTCTCCCACAGTTTATTTACCCTTCTGATCGCCTAGTACAGGGCTCCCTATTTCTATCACACATAGAACACAGTCACTCTTTTCTCAAAGGAGACCATTCCAGGCCCCGTCCAGCTCAAAGTCCATGACCACTGAGTTATGGTCAGCCATCCCTATCAGGTCCAGCGGTGGCACTTTGTGGTCTCCTAACCTATGACGTTAAAAAGTTGTATGCTGCCCCCCAAATGTAATGGTGAAGCAGGATCTGGATAACCTCAGTAAAAACTGCCATGTGTAAAGGAGAGGAATGGGAGACACAGCAGGCACCCGGCCATAGGCGTTCTGGAATACCGATGGAGAGACATTGGAATACCAATGGAGAGACATCAGGCAGGCCACTAGATGAGCTCTCTGTTGCTGCATAACAAATGACCGCAGACTCCATGACTTAAACCAACACCCATTTATTATCTCACGTTCTGCGGGTCAGAGGTCCCAGTGGGCTCGGCGGGGTCCTCTGCTCTGGATCTCACAAGACTGAAAGCAGGGCGCCGGCTGGGCTGGCTCTCACCTGGAGGCCTGGGAAAGAATCCATTTCCATGCTTATTCAGGTTGGGGGAAGAATTCTAGAAATTTTAGAAATTCTGCCTACCACAGTTACCTATCTTTGATTAGATCTTGATTCTGCATTCTGGGAGAAACTCCAATGTCCCCTGTCCACTGTTCTCTGTGGGGCTTCATTTTATATCACCTTTCTTGGGCGCATTTGAAGTGGAAATTAGAGAGTATGCCTCTCCTTTACTATCTGCTTTCTGCTGGTATAAGCTTCGGATCCCCAAAGTTGTTTTCCAACTTGAACAATCAAAGGAGTTTTTAGTCCTGGCTTATGCTTCTTTGTACATATAGTTTCCTTACAAATTTAGATTTCTGATCTATTTGCTTCCCTCTGATTCCACGTGTCAATAATTATACCCCAAATTCTTTTCCAGTTACAATTCTCAAAATATATTCTTGTTTTCTCAGCCCCACATGCTCCTTTCTCTCTCTCTCTCCCTCTCTCTCTCTCTCTCTGTCTCTCTCTCTCTCAATCTCTCTCTATCTCTGTCTCTATCTCTATCTCTGTCATCTCTATTTCTATCTATCTCTATCATCTCTATCTCTGTCTCTCTAATTTAATGGTAGCTAGTTCATTTAAAAGCAGAAATAGAATATCCTTAATCTGCTCTTTGCCACAGGGCTGAGTTGATCTGGTTTCAACTGAGAAATTTTATTGGTTCTTTTTTCGAAGCTCTTTTTAGTCTTACTGTTTGGGGTTTAGAAGCAGTTAGATTTTCTAACCCTTCAGTCTGAACACTCTATTTTTGTCCTTTCTTCCGAATAGCCAATTCTTTGCTGGGTACTTTTTTTCTTGCAATACTTTGCCAAAGGCAGCCAATAAAAGTTCACATACTCCAACACTCTGATTGTTTCCAAGCACTTCTAGACACAGGCTGCCCATGGGCTTACCCCAAGTTATTATGGGCAAAGCTTTACCAGATAGTTTTGTTTTAGTCACAGCATGGGTCACACTATTTCCAGCCCCTGGTACTAGTTTATTTCCTGTCACTTGACTGCTAAGCCAGTGCTTCATAGCTTGAAAATTTGTTATTGAAGCACCCCACTTCTGGTTCAGATGTATGCATTTGTCAGGGTAAGCTAACTGCTATAACAAGCATTTTTTAATTTCCCTGGCTTAATACACTAAAATTTTGTTTCCTGCTCATGTGCCCATTCAAAGACTCAGCTCCCACCCAGGGGCTCTGCCATCTTCTCGGGCCTCAGGTCCTCAAATGAGTCTTCTGAACTTGATAGGAACAAAGCTGAATAAAGAGGGTGTGAAGTTTTGAGTAAGACAGTTTGTTTCTAAGAAGCTAGATCTGGAAGGTCTACATTCCCCTGCACTTAGCTGCAAGAGAGACTGATAAATGTAGTTTATCTATGGAAATTAGGTTGGTAAACACTCAGAAGTCTCAATCACAGCAAAATGCATTAATTAAAAAAAACCATACACTGGGAAAGTACAGGAAACTCGGCTCAGGAATGGTGAGGGGAGAAGGATTGGTCCAGCTCCTGGGACTGGGGACTTCTGGCTTGCTTCTGAGAGACCCTAATAACCAACGGGATCTATTTAATTCAGGTTTGGGGCAAGATTGGTGGCTCAGCTCCACAAAATGAGGAGGCATTTAGCTGTTTCCAAAGGTTTGGAAATGTGCTTTTATTTTCAAACTCAGGCATGTGACACTCTACAGTTCAATGCTAGCACACCGTGTGAGGTTTAACAACGCAGGAACTGACAGCCAGTGCTATACAAACCCAGCATCTCCCTCACCATTCACCCTGCTAGGCTGTGCATAGCGAGCAATACACATTGCTTTGCAGTAGTTGGAAAGTGAAGTTCCTTTTAGGAGGTGACATCAACAATGACACAAACACCACATCGCTCTGCAGCTGAGAATAGGCACCCAGAGTATACAGGACTCAGAAGAAACATCAGACTTCAGAGGCGTTTTAAGGGGAAATTTTATTTCGGATCAATATTACTTTTGGAAATACAGGGCCTGTTTCTCTCCTTTTCACTGCTGCTTTGGCAACAGTTCCATCTGCTTCAGGTCAATCTTTGCTTTTCAGAAAAGAAATACTGATGAGTACTTTTTCAGGAATACCTTTGGAAATGTGGTTACTCTTACGCTCCTTCTTTTCCTCAACCTCCCTTACTCTCGAAGGGGTTTGGGTGAGGGCCTAGGCTGGGAGGACTCTTGACGCCTTTCTGCGGAGCAGCTGGAGGTTTGGGAACTTACTGTACCCTCCTCTGCTGGCCTTTGTCTCAACCAGAAACAAAGGTGGGAACCCTGTGGCCAAGTGGACAATGGGTCAGCTCAGCCTGGACCTTCTTTAAGAGAGGCTGAGACTGGCCCTGACCCGTGTGTCTCAGTGGTTAGTGTCAGCCCTCGCACCAAAGGGTCATGGGTTCGATTCCTGCTGAAGATCATGCACCTGGGTTACAGGTTTGATACTGGCCCTGGTCAGGGTGCCATGCAGGAGGCACCAATCAATTTGTCTCTCTCACATCGATGTCTTTCTCTCTCCCCCCTCCCCCCTCCCTCCCTTCCACTGTCTCT